TCACTGGTAGTCACTCACATCGATCGATCATCACCGCCATCCAGTGCTCGCCAACTTGTGAGCTTATCTTTGTTTTGATCTGTATAGGAAAGATTTCATTCTACGATCGTGATCTCTTGTCAGTATGTGATGCTATGTCCAGTCAATCCCACTTACATGATATATAGTGCAGGAACGGGATCGGTGTTAAGCTTAGTGATTAAATCATTGGTGGAACTCTTATTCACTTGAACTTGTCTCGTTCACTTTCCGCATGGACTCGGTCATCCGCATATCTCTGGAAGGTGCTATCAAAGAACGAACCCAGGGTGCGTTCCTAAGTGCATCCGCACAGAAGTATTTGTCTGTGTGTCTGCGCGTGTTGGATTTATATATGTATAGTTTGAGAACCAATGTGTATACATCACGTGACACAATAATTGTATACCTCATGTGCACCCGAGTCTAACTATGTGGTTGCACAGGTGTGTGTGTGTGCTCAACACTCCAGGTAAACACTCAACACAACCAATCCAAACCGCGATTGACCGCACACACACACACGTGTGTGTGTGTGCAGCTCGGCCGTTCAAATTCGATACAATCATTTCACCCGAACTTTCCTCTCTCTCTTTCTCTCTCTGTCTGTCTGTGTTTATCTTCCACTGGGCCTGTGAAATTGTACACATACCTATGAACGTTGGTGAGTTATCTACCTCAGTCTCGATCCGAGCTTTTATTGTACACAATAGCGGAATACCGAACCCCGGTTTCGGATACACAACTCATCCATTTTTGTAAGATTCAAACTTATTAATAATTTGTCTACTCTGCTCTGCCACACATACATATTCCGTCTGTGATTTGCACCTAAATTATGCGTTTGACATTCCATTCCGGTTACCCTGAGCTCAACTCTGAACTTGGTTTATTGCCACTCTTATTTGAGGTCTCAATTTTGGTCGACATGGCAGTGTATGATACATGCATGTTAAGGCTAACATCAAACATATCCGAGGCTATATTTGCTGATTTTTAAACAGTCTAAACGGAAGGTTTCCAAGCTATATTACTGTACTACTGTCACTTTATTCGAGGAGATGAGCATTTTTTGGGGAGGGGTTTGTAGGCGGGGGGGAGGCGGGTTGGTTGGTTGATTGACAAGTGCACAGCTTCATCCGGTTTTTTTTTTCACAGTGCATCCGCAACCGGTTACATGTTTGTTAATAGCATCCTACGCACTCATTTGTCCTATTCACGACAGGTGTGGATGCAAAACCAGATGCTCACTCATCTCCATAATGAGACAACCGATATGGTCATTCTCGTACGGAAAAGAGGGCTTTAAGGAAAGTTCATCTCTAACCAAACAGATCATTACTACTCCGTCTTGTACCATGATGTCAAACACACTCAAATCTCGTTTCCAGCGGTTGGTTGCATGCAATCCGACCAGGATTGGGCGACAAGAGACAGCTGTCTGGAACCATGCTGGCAGTCGCTCAGTAGAACTTCACGTTCGAGGAACGTGCATTGCTGGTCAGAGATGACGATATCAAATACTTTCAAAAGGACATATGTAAGAGATTAAGGTCGGTAATTATTAGAATCAGACCGGTTATCGAGTTTGAGACCGGGAACTTCCACGATGTGTTTCTAGGGGTCCGGAAAAGTGGCAAGTTGCAGAGGAAGACAGAATAGAGAGGATTTAAAATGGGAGCACACATTTTGAGGGTATTTTGTGTTTGACGAACAAGATCACACCAGACGAATTGCCGATTCGGGAGATGTTGGAGGGATGAAATTTCGGGAAAGTACTTTGGCAAGGGACCAAAATGTTTGGCACTCGTGAAAACAAGTTTTCGGCTTTACAGCAGAAAATGCGTTCTGTGTTTGTCCGCACGGTTGTGGAGCATCCGTTCCTGGGTTGCACGAAACGGAGATATGAGACGGGATCAGCGGTACCAGAGACGCAAGGCTGTGTCTTAAGTGTACAACACGATCGCACGCAATACCTGGCCAAACCAACCGGATTTTTGGGTTTGCCGGGTTGAGAAAAAAATATCCGTGAGGTTAGAAACCAATTTGCTCATGTAGACAACGAAACTCCGCTCGTAACAAGGATAAAAGTTAGACAATCACGGAAACCGTCCCAGTTGGCTGAGTTCTACTGCCAGAATGTGTGCCACGAAGTGGGTGACGCGTGGGGCTCAATAAACTTGATCCAATGAGACAAGCGGAAAGAGAGAGAGAGAGGGAATAGAGATGTATATTGCAAAATGAACCGAAATGAGTATGGGCACAGTGGCCAGCGTGGGGCGATCAACTAACCAGCTCACGTTATTGACTAGGGTGAAATGTTTGGCCTCGTGCCCCAACGACGAAGTAACAGAAGAACGTGTCAATCATCTCTGAACATGAAAGTTCTTTTCCCCCAGATGGCAATCTGGAAGTTGAGGTCGGTCGTTAAATGTAACTGATCAAACTTCCTTTTTGAACATGTGCCGGAGATCATGGAGCTGGAACCCAACACAATTGTTTAGTAGAGACTTGTTCTTGGCCGAGGTTCCTTGTCGGCCTCTTCCACTCACCTCAGTTCCATTGTGTTTTCAGTTTGAACAACCATGTACCATTGTGCGCCGGTATGATTGCTGTCTTTTGGCTGCTCATTTGGGAAAAAACAGGACAACCGAAAGTAGAGTCGATTAGTAACTGAAAAATTTTAGTGGACTACGGTTGTAAAGAAATTGAGAAGATGCGGGAACGCCACTGTTTATGACACAGCCATATCACTCAATGTCTCTAACCATCGGTTACGCTCATCCCGACGTCTACAGCCAGATAGCCTANCCCGGTTAGGGATTTCATACTTTCGTGCCAGGTCTTAGGTTGACCACCTTTGACTTTAGTCCACCCATTACCTGCCTCGGCAAACATCGCTCGCCGTGGCAGCCTATTTGGTGAAATGCGTAATACATGCCCCAAACAACATAAGAGTTTGCGAAGAGTGAAGATATGGTCGATACAACCTCGACCAGGTCTAAAGCCAGCCTGGTTCTCACGCGTGCACCGTTCACGTGAGGCAGACAATCGACGGACTATGATGATGCCAGCGAGAAGTTTAGAACCGATGTTGATTAAACTAATTCCTCTGTGGTTTTCACAAGAGGACCTGTCGTCTTGCCTGTAAATCGGTACGATCACCGAATCATACCATTCAGCTAGTACCTCTTTCCTTTCCCATATTGAGCCCAGGAGTTTCGTCAACTCCAAGACTAACGCTGAGCCTCCATCCTTAAACGCTACTGGGGAACAGCACATCTGGGCCAGAGGCTTTATGCCTTTTGATCTAACTTATTTCCCGGGAAATCTCCGTTTCAAATGAAGGACTAGCATCTACTGCGAGTAGTTGCCCAGTTCAGGTGGAGAGTGATAGTTCAGATGTCGATGGGGACCAGTTGAAGTGAGCCTCGAAGTGTTCCGCCCATGAATCAAGACGGCGTTGCTGATGGTGAATCAGTGTGCCGTCTGAATCCCTAATTACCTCACTCACACCTATTTTCCTAGGGTCCGTATTCCTAATTAGATGGAAAAGAGTGTAACTATTACCAATAGCCGCAGCCTTCTCAATTTCTCTACACTTTCCTATCAACCACCTCTAGCGGTCATTCCCCAGACTGGTAATGAGCTGGTGTTTGAGGGCATCCGGAGGGAGGGTTCTGCGGGCGTCCAGCAGGGCAGCCGAGGTAGACGAGGTCCATCGTTTGTGTTTTGAGCCTGCGCCAGGGTCCGACGTCGCTTGTATTGATATTTGCATAGCTTTTCAATTTGCTTCCAATGTTCATTGTGTCCTTCGGTTGGTGGTTGAACTGAGACAAACTGCAACAATCGCTAACACTGTATTGTGGATATCTGTTGTCGGTGGCTTTTTTACGGTTGTCTGCCAGGCCTAAAGAGAATTTGGCTCGTGACAAGGTGTGATGTGTATCCGCCAGGCTTGGTAAACAACTGAGACTGAGGAAGCCTATCATTCGATACTCCTCACTCCAAGTAACTTGAGTCGTTCATGTTTCCTAGCGCGACGATCTGTTCGTTGGAAATTTTCTTCGTGGAGTTTTGATTGCAACAAATCCTTTCTAGTAAATTTATATTTGGGCCAATCTGTAGGTCCAAATCGAAGCGCTTTCTTTCCAAGCCACACAGTGAATTTTTGCGAGAAAATTGAGCATTCAACTGAGAATGCTTTGGAGGCAAATATCCGTGATTTCATAAACAAAACAGAATAGTGTCACGAATAAGTTTGTTCTCTTAACGTGTCTATTTGCAAACCATAACCCTAAATATCGGAAGAAAAAGCGTGTTTCAACCACCATTTGTTTTGTTGGAACCGCCTCGCAACGATGACAGTGAGATTGCACAAATACGGGGCAATCGAAAGTTTGGTCATTATGTAATATGCTCGTGGACTTCCTCAAACAACCTTGTGAAATCCCCACCGAGTTTCTTTATCTGCTGTTTTCTCCAAATACATTGGCAGATATGGGACGGCGATCGGTTGCATCCCATCAAGGAAGCCGACCTCGATGGATCAGTGATTACGAGAATCGGGAGTACGGATTTGAGACCATTTCCGGGGAGATTGATCGGGCTCTGATGACCGCAACTTCACACACTTCTTCCTATCTACAAGAATTAGTGCAAGTAAGTAGACAATCTCTGGACAATTAAAAATGTTGGCGGTGAGGGAGGGGGTTCAGAGGTCAGAAAAAACTTGATTTATTCTGTTTTATTACACATTTCGGCTAATGTATTCACCTATTGTCCTGTCTTTTCAAGGCTTCCAGTTTTCTCATATAATCTATAGAGACTGGGTAAACCCGTTTCTCACCAAACCGTGCAACTGATAACAGCTCACTGTCATCGGGTTCCACGTGACCGATTGGCTTTTCTGTCAACTTTGAGAATAGTGATCCGCTCAGCGTTTCAATTAATCGCTAATTGTTTTGTATTTATTTTGACAATCTATGTAGCTCAATGAAATTCAGATGAAATTCGAAATTTGTGTTCTTCCTGATAAGGAAGTAAAGCCCGTTAGTGCACAAATCTACTTGATATTCAAAATCCGCACTTCATGCCACGGGGTATGACCTAGAGAATCTTACCAGGATAGCACAATGCAAGAAGTCCTCCTAACCGCAAACTGTTTGTACTCAATTTCTCCGTGACCAAACCACCGAGTTCGATTAAATTTGTTAGCGTGATGACACTACTGATTGTTATATAATGAAACCGAGCGAATTTGGGTTTTCATTATGCTAAACTGATCTGTTATAGAAACTTTTCCCCATGGATACGATCTGCTATTAACCTCGTCCCAGGAACGTGACGAAACGGTGCCAGCGTTTACAGACCCCACAGGTCTTTATTTTTCATGATTGAGGCAACTCCGAGGTATACGACTAATCACGTTTCGGATAGTCTGAACTTTGAAATTTTTGTTACTCATCAAGTACGACTGTCCTTAATTCGCGGATGGTGAACAATATCGTTCCGGTCACCTTAACCAACCTCATCACTAGACTCCAGAAATGTCCAGTAGAGTTCACATCCGCGGTTCGGTAATCACAATGTGACGAGATAGTTTCTGTGTATAGAGGCATTCACCTATTTCAAAGTGATGGTTCCAATAGATTTTCTGATACTTCGGAGAGGTGAAAAACCCTTCAAAGTGTTGACCTAAGACTCAGTTGATCTTCGAGAGTCCCNAAGTGAGGTATTCCCTTGGCAAAAGTGGCTCACCAAACCATGACCCAACTACCCGTTGCAAGCCTGATGGCTAAAGACTAGCTTGCTCTGATCCAATTCATGCCAACAGTACATGAGTCTATCAGGACCGTCGAGTTTTCACTTCTTCTATAGGTCACTGAATATCTCAACGTTTCATTCCAAAGTGTAGGTGATGTAACTTTGAATCAAATCAAATCAAATTCAATTGTCAGTTAATTATCCATGGTACTGATTTTCCCCTCCTGGATTGAACGTTTGGTGCGGTTTATAGCAGTTGCTGTAGGAGCAGCGCATTCACATTGTGTGTGTGTGTTGTG